ATCTTAGTGAAAAGGCATTAAAACAAAACAACTTACTGCCGTTGAGTTGTTTGAACTCATAGTAACTGCTCCTTGGCTTTCTGAGGTGGTGTCTCTATGGAAGTGGAGGCATAATAGCAGATCCTATAATCAGCAGGAAACTTACTCATTTGTTAAAGAGCCCAATGAATCCTGTCACAATTTTCCTGGTAGAAAATTCTTCTTAAATGCTCCCTTCCCCCCTTTTTTTAACCACTTGCCATTGTGTTGACTCTGACTCATGGCAACCCCATGTGCATCAGAGTATAACTGTTCTCTACAGGGTTTTCAGTGACAGATTTTTCAGAAGTGAGTTGTCAGGCCTTTCTTCCAAGTTGCCTCTGGTTGGACTTGAACCTCCAATGTCTCAGTTAGCAGCCAGGTGTGTGAACAATTTATACAATCCAGCGACTCCCCTGGATCCTTTACTATCTTAACATCATCTTCCCATCGATAATCAACCTAGACAGGTTCCTCTGAAAACGTAGAGTCTGGAATCAATCCTCACCCCTTAAATTTGGTCTGAACAGCTCTCAGTACTCTAGGACTACCTTGTTCCATGACCTGGTCCCTGTATTTCTATTAATATGATCTGTCTAGTAAAGCACAAGCAGTTTTAACACCTGAACCCTTTGGCTGGTTTCTATTACAGTTATGAGAAATGAATCCCCAGATTCTTTTCCGTCAAAGTTCTGTCTGTCATCTGTGGTGGGCTATTCACCCACCACAACAAATGCAACAAATGCCTCAAGGGGAAGGACAAACTATCTTCACACTATTTTCTCCTAAGGGATCAAAACTTACTTGGACACCTCCTTCACAAGTAGTTTTCCCTTTTGTCTTAGAGATCTTGTTAGGAAAAGTGTGGTGAGGAACAGGACAAAAAAAAAAAAAAGTTTCTTTCACTCTTCCCTGATTTTCAGGGGACTTCTGTATCTAGCAATGGAAAGAATCTTTAAAATTCACACCATGTTTTAAATGGTGGAAGATATTAAAAGATTCTCAAGTGATATACTGCAGCCATTTTACCATAGAAAAAGAGCCAAGAAAAGAACATGAGAGATAGCTTTTAGCTGAAGAGAGGGCCTGCACTCTCCTTCTGGAAAAACTAAGCCTCTTTTTGATGAAAGTTTTTGATAAAAACTTTCTAGTTTGAAGACTGAGAGATTCTCAGTATTCTTGGTTCTAGAAAATATAACTACCCACACGTTTAAGATCTGGTTAATAATTGGGACAATTATATCAATTTGGTATCAGGTATCTGAGAATTTGTCTGATATACACATGGTATACATCAAATAATTCTCCATTGTATGAATAAATTTAATGTGGGTATTTGCAGCCAGACCAATATCTGTTTGTAGAAGAACTGATTGAATTTAGAATAATGTTTTTTTGAAAGAAATACCTTGAATGCTTGGGATAGGTTTTGTTATTATTATTATTTTTTTCAGATTGGAAATAGATGTATTTGAATGGAGACAGGCTACCAGTTCCCAGATCTATAGGTGAAGGTTCTCTTGGGGTCCTCATTTACTAGTGCAATCACTGCATCATTAAGAATAGCTTCTCATCTAAGAAATAATGATTCACTTTTCATAATGCAATCTTTTAGCTGAACTGACAGGTTCATAGATCATGAATTTGGCCTTTTTACTTCCCTCATTTTCTTCCTTCCTTCTTTCCTTCTTCTCTCCTTCCGTCTCTCCATCCCTTTCCCCCTTGTCTCTTTTTCCACTTGTAATAGTATATATGCCATCTCAATAACATTGTTAGAAGTAGGCCATTACTAATGAGCACTCACTTACTGAAAGCACTTGCACAAAAGGATACAACTATGTGACTGCAGCAACCTGGGGAATGACTGTCAGCATCTGCAGTTTGACTTTACCATGTAGATTCCAGGGTTGGTAGGTAAAAAGAGTGTGGTCAGCTTCAGGCTAAGAGTATCAAGAAACTTGACCATGGCCACCTTCATAAGTCTCTGAACGTCTTCTAGTCACATTCAATTTGTCATCATAAAAGAGGACCCAACTAAGAGTTTTAAAAAAATTAGGACAAAACCCTGATTAACTAACGTAGATTATCTGACTTCATCAGTTTTCTCTCCCAAAGTCTCACTTCTGAGTGATGAAGAAATGGGATTAATAAGGTGTGTGAAGACTGTGAGGAGGTTGAGAGCAGTAACCAATGGGTCTGTGCTGTGTTAACTGTGTTGGTTTTCAGTAGCAATTAGGAATCATCTTATCTTTTGCTTAGGATAAACCTACTGTGAGGTGTATATATCAGTCTAGGTAATAGCCTAAAAAGATCCCATGAAAAAACAGTATAGCAAAGTACAGAAGCCTCTTAACCAGATCTAGTCTTTCAGATACAAATACCCAAAGGGAAAAAGAAATTAACACTCAGACCAGAGTCTCAGAATAGGGACAGTACATGTGTTTGTTTTCCAGAGGAACTTAGGAAAAAAATAATATATAAATAACAAAACATACCATGTGACCACCAAGCCTTGTCAAGATCAAAGTAAAACTTCGATATCTAGGGAATCAACAGATGTGAGGAATGGGTCCATAAGATTTTCTTTCCCATAGCTTCATCTTCAAAGACTAGTGATTTTTCCATCTACATTCTTAGTTCTGACAATAGACATTAAAGCAAAATAGAAAAAAAAAAATTGACCATGTGGATCTTTTAAAGCACATTGCAGATAAGGGAATGTAAAATGATTTTCATGTTCCTTTTAGATGTGTTACCATTTCCAGCCAGTAATGGTGAAGGCATTCTGTCTTTTCACATCCATATTCATTGGCAAAATGAGCTTGTTCACGGTAAGCAAGTGGCTGTGAGTCATCAGGTTGGAGCCATTAGTCATACACAGAGAGGCAATGTGTAGTCTGGGTAATTAATCAGGAGTCCTTAGTGAAAAAAGCCAGGTACCATTTCACAGCAGATTGAGGGTTAAAGGCTTTTGGCATATAACTCTGTAGCACTGCTATTCAGGACACACACCCACACACCCACACACACACATGCATATATATCTATATATCCATGTGTGTCTTTGTGTGCATTTGTCCCCCTAGAAAAAGAACTGGCAACTTTCAGGGTAGCAGTCATCAAAAACACTCTGTGTTCACACACATTTACAAGTTAACAATGGAATGATTTCTAAATCTTTGGTTTATCAAAAAAGAGAACTTCAAAATCACAACATTTTCGATTATTTTCTCTACAAGTGCACAGTGAAGATTTTCTTTTTTTTACAGAAGAAAACAGTGCCTTTGTGATTTAAATAAAAATTTAAAACAAACAACAGCAACAGCTACTTTCTACAACATGCAACTCTCTAAGATGGTGACTTCAGCCACAGTAAGCCTTTGAGAGACTATCCTACAATCTGAGTTTTCTCAACTCCCAGCCAAAGCATGAGAGGTGATAAAGGAAACACATTAGACCACTGTCTGTTTCATTTCCATTGTTTTCAATGTGTAATTGTGTTTTCTTGCAGAGACCAAGATCTTAAATACTCTCTACCATAAATATCATTCATATTTATTTTTACGATATAATGATTTCCAAATTTCCCAGCTCAGAAGGAAGATTGGGCAAGCAACACAGACCAGTGATTGCTGGAAATCAAATCAGGGTGGAATGCACTTAGTGACTGATGGGCCAAGTCACCAGAATTTCTTCCTAAGGAAGTTCCTGCAACTTCATTTCATAACAAACTGTGCATATGGAGAATGAGTTCTCCAGGAGAACTTGGAATTTTAACTTAAAAAAAAAAAAAAAAAGGTTTTTTCAGGAGTATGGCAGATTGTTGAATCCAAGGAGTCTTCTCTCAATGTTGGGGCAGAAAAACAAAGAAAGGTAGTCAAAAGAGGGGCAAGAGAGAATTGGTATCTTGAAAGACAACCGGTGCAGATGAGAGTTGAACTTAGGTGGAACTCCCCCCCACCACCTCATGAAAAGGAAAACAGAAAAGGAAGTTGGACCCTCATAAATAACAGTCCTGTTAAAGTAGTCAACAGTATTTATTCCTATGGTATGTATAATTCTGCTGATCTCTAGTCCTGTCTTAATTTTCCCTTATACAACTTATGATGCCTAGAGGTTTCCTTCAGGTTTGCCTACATGGTAATCTCTAGTATTTGAAACTAAAGAGGATGTGTAGGAGAACCCAAGGTATATCTTTGCATAGGAGAAGACTCCCTTATTGCAGGATTCTCCCCTGATCTGCCATGCTTAGCACCTCAGAGATAGCAGGAGTGATTTGGCTATGGTTTGAGAAAGAAGGAAGCTTTGAGTGAGGTTGTCTGGAATGAATATAGGCCAGCTATTATCAGCGACCAAAGAGTCCTGGGCATAGGATTGAGACCACTTCAATGGCTAGCTTTGTGGCTAATGGACCTTGCTTTCCTAGGAATGGATTAGCCTGTCCCTCTCTTCTGCCTCAAGAATTCCCTAACTGAAGCTGTACGTGGCTTCCATTTTAGGACAGGTAATAGAGAGATGAGAAGCAGCCTACATCAAGGACATATCTTTCATAACCTTCGTTGGAGGGAGTTGACAGTTTCTTTCCATGGTATGCTTAATTGTTTTCATGAGAACAGTATACAATGTGAGATTATGCCCCAATAATGCCTGAGAAAAATTATGGGTTAAAAATACTTCTGGTGTTTTAAAATACAGTGAAAGATATTTTTTGGCATTCTTAGTCTGAGAAAACACATTTTTGAATGCATCGCTGAAATTATTATCAGTCACTGAATGTTGGTAAATGTTAATATATGTATCAGAATTGACTCGATGGCACTAACAACAAAACATATATCCTATTCCTGTTGATTGTCACAGAGATCTCTATGGGCTTATTTTTAATTCCCTTCTCTCTTGTTTGATAATAAAAGTACCTATGGTTGTATATTTTCTCCCATGGAATTCTTGTTGGTCTTCCTTAGTGCTGTCATATCAGCATTCTACCATTGTTGTAAGTGAAGGTCCATGGGAGAATTCAAATTGAGATCAGTGACATCCAAGAAATCAATGTTAAAGATACTGGGGCCACTGGTGGTGAGGGAGCCAAAGCCTGGTGTGGAGCTTGGTGGAGTGAGGTCCAGCCACTCCATGGTCTCCCAAGGGGATTCAGTGAAGCTTAATGGCAGACCATTGCTGTCCAGAGAAGAGGGTGAAAACTGAGTCTGCATTGGGGAAAGGGGGCCTGGCAATATCTCATGTGCATTGAACAGGTCTTCTGCAGCCTTCCCAGAGAATCCATCCATGATCCCATCAAACTGAGGCTCCTCGCTCCCAAGTTTTAGGAGCGTGACATCGCTCACCTTTCCTAAGGGGCTCTGGGAATTTAGTAAGACTTCAAGGTGTTCGTCATTTTCAGTGGTGTAGTGATCATAGGAAAGCTGGCCTCCTGCAGAAGCTTGTTCAAAGGAAGCTGAAGGCTTGGGTAGAGCAGCACTAGGGCTTTGGGAAGGCCCCGATATCTTTGGGACTTTTTGAAGACAGGAATGATCTTCTCTGGCATCGGCAGGCATTTCTGTTGGAAAACCCCAAAGGCAATTGTTAGATCACATCAAATGGAACATACCTCACACTGTGACTTTTTGGAAGAATGAATTACATTAAACATGGGAGGTAGCCCATGCTCTCATTACCTAGAGTTTCATTCCCAAATGTCCCATGAATCCCCAATTCTTTTTTCATTCCATCTCTCCTCAAACCCTTTCCTTCTAGAAATTCTCCTTTATGATTATCAAACTCTCTGATCTGGAGGATTCTTTGACATACTGACAGCTGGCTATCCCCTGAGAACCCTGCTTTCTCTGTTATTCCCTCAGTAGAGATCCACATACTTCAGGACTACATTGGATTCTTTTTCATTTCCCATTGCTTCTTTCTGATCATCACTACCTCTCCTCCTTATAGCACCTCAGCTGCTTTAAGGGTCTTCCCACTTTCCCTGCCCCCTGCCTTACTGTATTCATTTGTCAATTTCCTGACCACAACTTAGCATTCGCTGAAGACACTATTCCCTAGTTCATTATTATTTACCTACTTTAATTCTTGTGTTTCTCTGTGGCTTCAGATTCTCAGAAATGACCCAATCATCACACAAGGGAAGGAGTTCCTTGACCTTTTGACCTTCCCCTCAACTCCAGAGATACCTCTATTAGCCACTCTGCTATGCATGCCTAGACCTTGTCATCACCAATACTGAATTGCTCAGAAAACTTGGTTTCAAGCAAAATTTCCCTTTCTCTGCCCATCACCTCCAATCTCTCCAGCTCACTTATAAATTCCCCATGAATCATTTTCTTAGCCATTTTGAGTCATTCCAATCCACTGACTCAACTATTTTATCATCATCTACCAGTTCTTGAATTCCCTTCTTTTCTCTTCCAGTCTATATTCTGTGGGACACAAAAATAATTAGAATCCATGCTGGAATAAATAGCTAATGTGCTTGGTTGCTAAATGAAAGGTTGAAGGTTTGCATTTACCCAGAGGCACCTAAGAAGAAAGGCATGATGTTTCCAACAAACCAGCCCTTGAAAATCCTATGGGGCACAGGTATACTCTGACATACATGGGGCCACCAGGAGTTGGTATCAACTAGATGGCAACTTTTTGTTTTTTATAACCATTGTAATTACTTTCTCATAAATGTCCACAATCTCCTTGCCCACAATCTCCTTGCCCCCACCTCCTTCCAACCTTGGCAAAGCCCCATCCCTCAATAAATCTTATCATCTGCTTTCTCTGAGCCTGCCCTGGATCAAGTAGACATTGCAAGAAAAAAGATTACAAGACCATGTTGACTGGTTTTGCTCTAAATTCATAATCTCCAACCTCTATTGACACTGAATACTGCCTAGCAATTCTACTGTTTTTCTAAAAAACTGAATTTATTTATGATTGATTTTTAACTGCTCTTCTTTTTTCTTATCTTCCACACTACCTTCCTGCAATCTCACTCTTTGCAAACCTTGTCACAGACATCATTAAGAAAATAAAGGCAGGGGATTCAAAATGGTGTCTGGTCAGTAGTACCTACACTAATTCCCTCCAGCCTTAGTGCCTGAAAAACTATGTGCAGCAGTTTGAGATAGGGATTCTGGTGCTCGGAACAGCTCACTGAGTCAGAGTGTGCTAAACTCAGGGGAGTAGGATTGGAAAGGAGAAAGGGGCAGGGGAAAAAAAATAACAAAAACAGGGGAAACTACCCTGTGGAGCACTTACCAGCAGGGGAGAAAGACCATTGGAGACCTCCCTGAGTTAGGGAAGAAAGTGCACCCCATGGATCTACCTCCAGCACCTGCTTTTATAGGTAAACTTGGGTCTGCTGGGTGCAGGTGGGCACTTCTCTGGCTCCAGCACTGCTGAAACCCGAGCAGAGAGACCATTAATGCCACACGTAGGAGGGCCCTTGTAGGAATTCCTGTGGTGGATGGCAGAGCGGGGTAGTTGTCTTGGGTCAGCTTTTTGGCATGGAGGGGTCTCAAGAGCAGGGTTTTTGCATGTGACTAAACCTGGTGGAAAGTGGTGACACCCTAACAACTGGAGTCTTTGCTGAACTTGAGCTGCGGGCCTGTGAATAACAGTATAACATCATCATGAGCAGCCCACTCAAAGCCCTAGAAACTGCCACTGGCAACTTGGAGCTTCCTTCCTTCTCTCTTCTCCTCCCACCTTCTCCACCTATACCCTTACTCATCCAATAGAAAAATCACATTCAGCCACCATAATACCTGCTGGTTCTAATTCTAAACCCTCTTTATGACAAACAGAGACCTATATCCATATTCCACACAATGATTCCATCATCACAAAGAAAACTGCAGAGCAACCCAACACACTTGAATTAATAAGCAAAAAAATAAAACACACCAGCTCCACCTTTTCAAAATATTAAATAATAAAACTAAGACAAAACAAATCAATATATAACCAACAGTTAAAGACAACTTCAAAATGTCTAGGAAACAACAGATAACCTCAATTCAAACAAAAAAACAGGACAAGTCATTAGAAGCAAAACCCTAAACAAAGGTGTCATTAAACATGGAGAAATAGGAGGTAATAGAATTGTCTGAGAAGGAATTTAGAAGATATATTTATAGAGCTTTACAAGAGCCTAGGGAAACCCCAAACAGAAGCAAAGAGAGCATAGACAGTTCCCTGGAAGAACTCAGGAAGATCATTCAAGTACAAAATAACAAGATTATTGCACAACCAGAACTCATACAAAAGCAGCAGTTAGAAATCCAGAAGATGAATATCAAAATCACAGAATTAGACAATACTGTAGAAGTACAAAAGAGTGGAACAGAACTGGCTGAAGAATGCATTTCCCAAGTAGAAGACAAATCCTTGGACACCAGCCTATATGAAGGAATATCAGAACAAAGATTTAAGAGAAATGAAGAGAACCTAAAAGTTATATGGGACAACATGACAAGAAACAACATACGCCTCATTGGAATTCGAGAACAAGAAGAGGCGATAAAACCATTGAGAAAATTGTGGAAGACCTACTAACAGAAAATTTCCCCCATATCATGAAGGAAGAAAAGATATTTGTCCAAGAAGCTTATAGAACCCCATACAAGATAGATCCCAAGAGAAAAACACTGAAGCATATTATAATCAAACTTTCCAAAACCAAAGACAAAAAAATTTGTGAGCTGCCCGGGACGAAAGAAATATTACTTATGATAATCACACAGTTAGGCTGAGCTCTGATTACTCAGCAGAAATCATGCAGGCAATAAGGCAATGGGACAGCATATATAAAACACTGAAGGAAAAGAACTTCCAACCAAGAATCCTATATCCAGCCAAATTATCCATCAAATATGAGGGAAAAATCAAGGTATTCCCAGACAAACAGAAATTAAGGGATTTTGTGAAAACCAGACCAATCCTACAAGACATGCTCAAGGAAGTCCTTCCAATAGAGAACCCACAACAGAGATCAACAAAATCAGGATACGTGACATCAATACTAAAACCAAATCAGGAAAAGAGACTCAAAATAAGACCATAAAACATTGTACACTAAAAATCAAGGAAGCCAATCTGCACACGACAACAGCAACTAACCAAATAGATAGAATAAAAGTTCTAGGTACAAACTTCCAAATGGAGAGGAAAAGAGGACAATGTCCTCATAGAACAGACTGTTCCAAAAATGTAGAGACAAGAATTCACGGAAACCCACAGAGAAAATGAACAATCCCCCAAGCAAATCCAGAAGGAAGGAAAACATATGGGTTTAATAAGCACAAAACCAACAATAAAGAATAAAAAAGAGAGGAAGCATTTGAAAACAAATCGAACTCAGCAGAGAAAAGTAGATGGACCAAGGAAACACCAACAACATGACAAAAAAAAAAAAAAAAAACCAAAACAATAGAATGACAGCAATCAATTCATATATATCACTCATATTACACTCAGTGTGAATGGACTAAATGCATCAATCAAGAGAAAGAGAGTGTCAGACTGTATAAGAAAAGAAGACCCATCAATATAATATGCTGCCAAAAGAGACCCACCTTAGACACAAAGATAAAAACAAATTAAGAGTAAAGGTGTGGGGAAAAAAAATATACCAAGCCAACAGTAATCAAAAAAGAACAGGAGTGGCAATATTAATTTCTGATAAAATAGACATTAAGATGAAAAATATTATAAGAGACAAAGAAGGACATTAAATGATGCTGAAAGGGTCAATTGACAAAGAAGATGTTGCAAAAATAAATATTTATGCACCTAATGAAAGTGCTCCAAAACAAGTGAAGCAAATATTAATTGAATTAAAAGGGACAATAGAAAACTCTGCAATACCAGTAGGAGACTATAACACACCACTTTCAAATAGGGACAGGTCAACTAGAAAAAAAATCAACAAAGATACAGAAGAACTCAACAACACAATCAACCAACTCAATCTCATAGACATATACTGAGCATTTCACCCAACAAAGCACAATTTATATTCTTCCCCAGTGCATGTGGATTCTTCTCCAAAATAGATCATATGTTAGGACATAAAACAAGGCTCAATAAATTCAAAAGCATTGAAATACTACACAGCATCTTCTTGGACCACAATGCTATAAAGTTAGAAATTAGTAACAGGAAGATAGAGGAAAAAACATCAAACGTGGAAGTTGAACAATTCACTGCTCAAACTAATAGAACAAATAAAAACTGAAATAAAAAAAAATTCTAAAAACTAATGAGAATGAAGATACATCATACCAAAACCTATGGGACACACCAAAAGCACTACTTAGAGAACAGTTTATAGCAATAAATGCATACATCAAAAAAGAGGAAAGAAACAAAATCAACACTCTAACTCATCAGCTCCAATGACTAGAAAAAGAACAACAAAAGAATCCTACAGTATCTAGAAGTAAGGAAATAATAAAGATCAGAGCAGAAATAAATGAAACAAAAAGTCAGAGAAAATCAACAAAACAAAAAGCTGGTTCTTTGAAAAGATTAACAAAATCGATAAACCATTGA